CCTTGTCGACCAGCGCGCGGTAGTCGTGCACGCTGCCGTCTGTGGCCGGGTACTGCACCAGCACGCCGCACACGTCCTTGCCGTACACAAAGCTGTCCTCGTCAACCACCTCCGCCACCAGGCCCAGCCCGTCCGCGCGCGTCTGGCACACAGCGATCGTCTGGGGGTGGCACTTGCTCTGAAAGGGGGAGGGACGCGCGGCGGCGGGGGCAACGCACAAGTGGCGTCAGTTTCGGCGTGGGCTCATACTGCACACCGCGTTTTTGCAAGGGGGCTACGGGGTGCTGGCAAAGCCCCGCTCGCCCGCAGCGGCAGGGCAGAGAGGTCGGGCGCAACGCAGCAGCAGCGGCGTCGTCGTCGGCGAGCGCCAGCTGTGCGGCAGCTGCGGTGCGCACCGACACGAGGAAGCGCGGCTTCTTGCCGCGCGCCACCGCGGAGCACAGCGTCATCGCCTCGGCCGCGGCGGTGGCCTCATCCAGCAGCGACGCGTTGGAGATCTGCATGCCGGTCAACTCGCAGATCATGGTCTGGAAGTTGAGGAGGCTCTCCAGGCGGCCCTGAAGGGCGGGACATGGGGTGGCAAGGAGACGCCTCTGAGTGCCAGACAGATTTGCGGTGCTGATTGTGTGCCCAGTATTTGGGTGGGCATCCGCGTGCTGCATGTGTGCGGCTGGCGGCCTTGAAACGAGGAGTCCTTGGCAGCGGTGCAACGGTGATTCATCTTGTGCAGTGTACACAAGTGCTGGCTGCATCTGCCGCTGTCTGGGCCCGCTGCCTGGGCTGCCTGCCGACTGCGGCTTCGGCGTGGCGCAGCGCTCAACCACGTGCATCCCCAGGTCTGCAGCCTGCTGTCTAGGCTGTCCGGGCCGGCCTGCTTCCCCCAGCTCTGCTGTGCAGCTGCTGCCTGCTTGTCGCACGCAAGCTTTGCGCTGTCGCCGCCCGATTTGAGGCTCCGACACGACCCACAGCTCCGTCGCCTCGTCCATCAAACCGCCTCCGGCCGCGCCGCGCGCTCTCGCTGCCCCCCGCTCTACCGGGTCATGCTCGCACCCCCCACCACACCCTTGCTGCCTCATAGTGCTGCGAGCAGCGCGGTTCCCTCGCGTCTGTGATCCTTTCACAACCTCGGACAATCAGGGTACTTGCCCCAGCGCAAAGCCTCTGCTCCACAACCAAGCCCCCAGGCCCACCTGCGCAATCTCAGCCTGGTAGGGCGTGTACTGCGTGTACCAGCCTGGGTTCTCCAGCACGTTGCGCAGGATCACCGGGGGGATGTGCGTGCCGTAGTAACCCATGCCGATGAAGCTCTTGTACAGCTTGTTCTTGCCGGCCATCTCCCTGGGGGGCGCAGGGGCGCAGGGGCGCGGGCGCACCAGGGACGTCGGCGTCGCGGAGAGGCGGGG